GGCTGTCACTGGAGCTGAGAGCCGGCTTTAGCTCTGAGGCCAGCTCCAGCTTGAGGCCTCGGCTGCTGAAAGCAGGAATCTAGGGTTTGTTTGGGTTCTATAATTGCAACATTGTTTCGGTCCTGCTCCCTCCAGCTCTGACAGCTGAAAGCAGGTATCTGGTTTTTTTTTAGCTTCTATAATTGCTACATTGTTTCTTAGAGAGCAGCTCAGAGGCGGGCAAGGCAGGCGGGGAACCTTGGCTTCCTCCATCACTGGAGCAAGCAAGCCTCCTGTTCACTTCAGCTGCCTGGCTGCCGGCCGCCATCTTGGTTGGCAGTTAATTTGCATATCCTGCTGATTAGCCAATGGGAAGCGTTCGGGGGCATGGTCAATTTGCATGTTTCTCTTTTATTAGATAGGATGGTAAATCATGGGAGTCATATTTTTTTTTAATATATTTTATTGATTTTTTACAGAGAGGAAGGGAGAGAGATAGAGAGTTAGAAGCATCGATGAGAGAGAAACATCGATCAGCCACCTCCTGCACATCTCCTACTGGGGATGTGCCTGCCACCCAGGTACATGCCCTTGACTGGAATCGAACCTGGGACCCTTCAGTCCGCAGGCCGACGCTCTATCCACTGAGCCAAACCAGTTTCGGCGGGAGTCATATTTTTAAGGAGTCTTCGAAAAGGCCTCAAGATGATGAGTTTAAATATTGATTCTCCCATAGACCTATTTCAAATTTGACTATAGTGCAGTCAGTGGTGTGCAGTGAGCCATTGGTTTGGGATATGAAATGTACTTACTTATACTTACTCTTAAGTGAAGTTCCTACTTTTGCAGACCTTAAGAGGTGGCACATTTCTTCCCCACAATTCACTTTCTAGTGAATGAGGAAGGGAAGTTGTTTGAGCTGACTGATATTTTTGGGTCTAAAATTACATAAAGCTAAAGAATAATTTTTTTAATGCAGCCTCTAAAATAACCCTAGAAGTGGAATTTCAAAATTATTTTAAGCAATAGAAATAAGATGTATAGTACCACTTACCCACTTAAATAGGAAACACTTATTTGATTGTAGATATTGAGTTTTTTCTTCCTCAAAATATTAACTTACAGGCACTCCTCATTTATAAACCTGAGTGATGAGATTTATTAAAAATACTCGTATTTACTGAACACCTACCTTAACACTGGGCACTTCTCTAGGTGCCTGGGTAGCATTATGAACAAAACAGCCTAAAATGGACAAAAACTTTCATCTCATGGACCTTACATTCTTATGTCAGAGTAGCAGTCAGAATTCTAAGTACCTATCTTATAAAAATATAACAAATGGTGAGTTATTTCTTGGTTGCTTAAAATTAATGTCTCCTGTTTAACAAAATATTAGAGGCTCGATCATCAATTCATTTCATTATAATTTAGATATCTTTTGATTAAAAATCTATGGTGTAATTATTATTATTTGGTCTGTTTTTTAATTCAGTCTATGGTTATAGATAAGTAAAGGAAGAAATGCTAAGTTTTTCTAATGTCCTGACATGCACCATGTACTAGAAGTAGTGGATTGTCCTTAGCATCTCTGGACAAGTACATAGAATCAATATATAGTTCTAATAATCATTTTTAAAAGTAACCTCTCTCGACGTCCTTCCCAATGCTTTGATAGTAAAAGTGTCACATAATCAAATTACATTCTTCTGAATAATGCATAATATTTATCAGCTGGTTTAATTTGCATTAGGATTATCCAGGAAATGTCTTATAAATAGATAATTCTTTCAATGAGAAGACTAGATCAGAACATAAAATATTCTTAGTTACACATAAAATAAAAAATTTCAGACTTGTGGAGAGGGATGGGCATAGGATAAGACATAGTTTATAAGCTGCCAAAAGTGGAGTGGGCTTTACCATTCCATTATCAAGGGTAAAATGTAGAGGAAAGAGATGATAAGCAGCTCAGATTAAATAACCTTTGACTCATTTTGTTTTCTATATAGTATTTATATACATTATACATTTTATGCTGTATATACTCTTACAATAAGACATGTTGATTAGGTATTTTTAGTTCAGGAAGGGATTTGAGTATAAATCACGATTATTAATGCTATGCGCTGAATTGTGTCTTCCCCCCCCTCCCCCTGCCACAAAGGCATGTTGAAATAGAAATGCCCAGTACCTCAATGTACTGTATTTGGAGATAGGGTGTGTAAGAGGTAATTAAGGTAATATGAGGTCATATAAGTGAGCCCTAATCCAATGCAACTGTGTGCTTATGAGAGATTAGGACACAGATACACAGGAGGAAGACCATGTAAAGACACAGGGAGAGGCTGGCCATCTACAGACCTAGGAGAAACCAACCCTGCCAACATCTTGAACTTGGACCTCTAGCCTCCAGAACTGTGAGAAAATAAATTCCTGTTGTTTAAGTCACCCAGTCTGTGATATTTTGTTATGGTAGCCCTAGCAGATGCGTACAATTAATAACTTTTAAAAAGCACTCATTCTCATCTTATTTTGCACTTTTGTAGAACTTTATTTTATCCTCAGTGTGTTTTCCCCTGATAGTCACAAGAGGAGCTTTTCTGAAGCCCCTCCTACTGTGTTACTTGATGGTTGCTGAATGAAATTTGCTGAAGTTCTTTTGAATGTTTTCTCTTTTTCTTCAAGAGTAGAAACAATATTTGAAATGTAGAACAAGGGATCATACTACAACATTAGGCATGTTTTGGACTTTTTGTCATCAACACCATCTCCTGAATCTTCTGTAGCTAGTAAAAAGGAGAAAAGCAGTATTATTGGGAGTCTGGCTACATAGTGTTTTTATTCTAACACTCTAATGATGTTAGTATTAACTTTATGGCTTAATTAGTTTTAGTTTATAGCAAATACTAAAGGCTTGACTATTTAAAAACTTAAATACATATTCAGAATTAGTCCACTTAAAAATAGAATTTAATAAAGAATTAGCCAATTATAACATCTGTTTCTCAAGAGAACCACTGAAGTACACAATCTGGGAATCTGAGTTGTTGCTTTGGGCTAGGCACAAAGCTTGTTGCCTGGAAATACAAAATAATGTTCCTAGTTCACAGAAACTTGTCACTGTAATAGGAAAAAGGTTCAGCAGTGATTTTTATGCACATAAAGTAGAGAAGATCCACATCCTATATAGTAAAAGGGTAATATGCAAATTGACCCTAACAGCAGAGCGACTGGGAATGACTGGTCACTATGACACACACTGACCACAAGGGGGCAGATGCTCAATGCAGGAGCTGCCCCTTGGTGGTCAGTGTGCTCCCAGAGGGGGAGCTCTGCTTAGCCACAAGCCAGACTGACGGCTGCCAGTACAGCGGTGGTGGTGGGAGCTTCTCCCGCCTCCTCAGCAGTGCTAAGGCTGTCTGACTGCAGCTAGGCCTGCTCCCCACTGGCAAGTGGACACCCCCCGAGGGCTCCCGGGCTGCCAGAGGAATGTCTGACTGCCAGCTTAGGCCCAATTCCCTGGGGAGCAGGCCTAAGCCAGCAGGTGGTCATCCCCCGAGGGGTCCCAGACTGGGAGAGTGCACAGGCCGGGCTGAGGGACCCCCCCAAGTGCACAAATTTTTGTGCACTGGGCCTCTAGTTCAATATACTGAATATAGATAGATAGATAGATAGATAGATAGATGATAGATAAATAAATAAATAAAAATGCCACAAGCCACTTAAAGGACCTGATACCCTATTACCCTGTTTATCATAAAATTGAGCGAAAAGATTAAATTTTATTGTACTAAGAAATATCACTTGCTCAGTAAGATTACCACTTTTGTTATCTTTTTGAAGTGCAAATTAGATATTATGGCTTTCCTATTTAAATCCCTTTAATGACTTCCCCTAGCTCTTCTGGAGGACACATTCTTAGTAAGGCCTTCAAGGCAACACAACCTATCAGGGCTGCCTGCATTACCAGCCTCTGATACTTTGCCCTGGTTACTGTCTAGTCTCCTTAAGTTCTCCAGTTGCACCAAGCTTATTGCCACTTCAAAGCTTTTGTACATATTCTCTTCTTTCTCTCCTTTCTGAACCCCACCTCTCTTTGCTTAGCCAGAGTTCAGAGTTTAGCATAAGCATCCTTCCTCAGGTACACTCTTCATGCTTCCTCTGATAGTTAGATAACCAAGCACTCATTTATTTTAACATCTAGCTCCCCCATCTGTGAGATAAGGGCTCAGTCTCTTCCCAGGGCCTGCCTAACACAGGGCCTTGTACTGAATAAGTACATCAGTGGATATCAAGGAGTCAGAAATCCTATCTTTATTCTGTTGAAGGATATCCTTAGCCTCTTCAGCAAAAGACTTTCTCCCTCTTTGAAGTCTTTAAAATACTCTTAAACACAATAGAACGCTCTAAAAGGACTGTTGTATCTTCTGTTTTGCAAGGCCTTTCCAGATAGAGATGAATTCTTCGTTAAACAATAAGAATTTCTTACAAAACTTTTTGAGCGCTGAACTCTGAAGAAAAAAATGTCATCATATTCACATTCCACTTTAAAGATGACATTTTTTTTTAAAATATATTTTATTGATTTTTTACAGAGAGGAAGGGAGAGAGATAGAGAGTTAGAAACATCGATCAGCTGCCTCCTGCACACCCCCCACTGGGGATGCGCCCGCAACCCAGGTACATGCCCTTGACCGGAATCGAACCTGGGACCCTTCAGTCCACAGGCCGACGCTCTATCCACTGAGCCAAACCGGTTTCGGCTAAAGATGACATTTTGAGACATCTGATGAGCTAATAATTGATCCTGAGTGTCTTACAGAGGTTTTCTGAAGAAAGTCTAACAAAGTGATTTTAAGAGTAGAGATTTCATTAGGAAAAATAGCCGTGTGTGGAGACATTTGAGGCGCAGGCAGGCTAAGTCTTGGAGTACCTGTTGACACCTCACTCAGCTGGCCAGCTTTGCTTTACATGTAGGGCTACCTGGAGATTTGTAAAACCTTCTCATTATATAGAGAAGAATATTAAGCTCAAAGAGGTTCAGCAAGTCGCTCAAAGTCTCACAGCGAATGCATAATGTTGGGACTAAAATTGTTGATCCCTTTGATTTCATGGTTTTCATGTTTTTTCTAAAAACTCAGTATCTGCAGAGGTGCCTCAGGAGCCAACTTCTAGAGTGGATGAGGAAGCCTAGCCCCACCCCTAGCTCAATGGGACCAGCCAATTCCATCTGGAATTCTTTGAGGGAGGGGAGGTAACCTGAAAATCACTAACATCTTAAAATTATCAGACCGTACAGTAAAGCAAGTTTAATATTTGTGTTTACTTTTTATGCTTTTGTCATGTGACTTCTGGCTACTTGCAAGAAGGAAAATCAAATTCCATCTAACCTTTTTCAGTCATGTTTCCTTCTTCCTGCTTTTTCACCTCCTCTTCCATTACCTTCACCTTTGCATCATATTCATCAGCCAGAGATTTCCACTCCATTCTGTTATTCTGAAGGCCATTCAGCATGGGGGTGACTTCTTGGTGAAACCGGGAGAACTCCTACAGAGAATTTCAGGTCAAAAACTACTTAAATTGTGTGGTTAATATTCAGTACTTTCCATATGCAGAAGAGCTGTAAGAAAATGTTCCGATGTTCAGCGCTGCTAGGTCAAATTTAACTCTGTGCCTTGGGAACGGAGACAGGGGCTTCCTTTCCTGCCTGCCTAAGTCAATTTGCTCTCATCTGAGTTCTTTCTCCTTCCACTCCTGAATGAGGGATTAGGATAATACCGCAAACTACCTTGGAGAAATAAGGACACCACTAATGGCTTTTCATGTGGGGTCTTTTTGAATTTGGTTAACAGTTTGAAAGCAAAATTCTCATCCAGATGATTATGTATTTCACCCAAATAATTTGTTTACTTACCTTATATACAAAAGTACAAACAAAATCAATAAATCCAACTTGAAGTTTAGGCAGTTCATCTTTTTTGTTTCTGTCCATCATAGGCTAGAAAGAAAAATAAACCCTTTAAAGATAGTTTTCTAAGGTTCAGCAAACAAAATAGACTAATTTGTATCGATATTTTTAAATAAATAGTGTGTTTTTTATGTCAAGGTCTTTACAATAGGTTGTTGCTGCAGCACTGTTCTCTCCAGATCTCCTTGTTCCCAAAATTCACTTGCAACTAGAAGTGCTACCTGCAAATAAGAAAGACTTGGTTCATGAAAGCAACTTATTAATAGAGAATCTGCACTGTATTAGTATGAATGACATTTAAGACAGGATTTATAGTTACTGTTAAAGTACCTCTGAGCATATTGTCATACCACATACTCTTTGGTTTTAAAAAAATGACATTTACAGATTGTATGGAAATGGGAAAGGAGAATTTCTCTTCTTATCAGTGTTCCAAACTCATTCTGGGAGTGCCTACCTCCTAGTTGCTATTGCCACCATCTCTCAACAGTAAAAAAGGGAAATGGGAAGATATTTAGTTCCATTATATTATGCTTCAAGCTCTGGAACCTCCCAACTCCTTCTGTCCTGCTTCTATTAGCATCTAGCATCTATCTGCATGTGTGATGCACACCGCACTCACACATATGCACACAAAGGCTAGAACACAGCTTTACTTGATTACAGTGTGCAGATACTTGAGGGTTTATTTATATCCTTTTTAAAAACCCAATATCAAATTTATTGAACACCTACTAGCTGCCTTACATTGGCATGAGCCAGGCTTGCCAAGAGGAATGAGATGTGACATTTTTCTTTAAGATGCTCACAGTCTAGTGAAGGCAGTCATGTACTAGTATACAGTGTGGTAAGTGCTATAACAGTAATAGTACGAATGTTATGGAACAAGGAGAATGGAGTAAATTTAAGTTTAATAAAGGGGGGAGGTTGTGCACTGAAGAAAGGATTGCTGGAAAGAGAAAAGCACTAATGATTCATCCTCGTGCTGATTTATCACACAATCCCTGAATAACTGTACGTAAACTTTTTATCGCCTGTTCAGTGATAAGGAATACTTTCAGGAAAGCATTTTCTTTCCAATATTCCCTCTACTTGTCTTGTTCTGGGGCCTGATCAAAAAGACCTATTGTCTTACATCTGTGAGCTCATGAAAGCAATTTGCCTTTTTTCATACCCAACAGGGAACATTTTATCTTTGTCTTAACTTCTCAAGTTCCTCTTTCCATCTTTTTAAATTATAAACTGATTGTTTGAGAGGACAAGTCCAGGGTAATGGAAGATAATAGCTTCATATAAGTGATATATCATAATTAATTAGCCATCCTTCTATTCATGGACATTTAGATTATTTCAAATAAGTGATAGCTATAATATCACTTGATAACTCTATTGATAACCCAGAAGGAGAATAATAAATGTGTGTGTGAATAAATGTCTGAGGTTACCTGATATACTCACGATCCCTTTTACGTGGGACCTACGAGTGTGACAGAAAAGGAAACATAATTTTATTCACCTGACTTTGAACCTCCCAGGGCTTGGTTATAGCTGACAAGTCACATGCAGTCATCATCATTGCCCTTTAGAAGAAACAAAAATTGTTAATACAGAAAGAAATACAAAATAAGTGATTTTTGCCAAAATAGGAATAACATTCTGACTACTCACATGATGATCTCTTTTTTGGTTGGATCAATGGTTATGTATTTGATGGCCTCTTCTTCAGTTTCCATTTTTTCACAGGCATCAACAATTTTTTGAAACATGGTTCTCTTCCTAAAAAAAGATACAGCTGTGCAATAGCATATAAGACCAGAGGGTAAAAAGGTATCTTTAACATGAGCTTTTCAGATCTCCTGAAGCACATCCAATGACTCTTGTGGGTGTCGACCCCAAGGTAAGAAGTTACATTTTATAATATATATGTGCATAAAGTATAGCCATATTTGCATGACTATATCTGAGACAAGCTCTGCGCACACTGTACTATTCAGTTAAATTGTCTTACTGCGCGTAAGCTCTGTTGGGGTCACCTTTTACAATGAGGTGTAAAATTGAAGATATGCAAACCCTACAGCAATTTCATTTCTAGGGAGAGTTTTTTTTTGTTTTTGTTTTTGTTTTTTTTTAAATATATTTTATTGATTTTTTACAGAGAGGAAGGGAGAGAGATAGAGAGTTAGAAACATCGATGAGAGAGAAACATCGATCAGCTGCCTCCTGCACATCTCCTACTGGGGATGTGCCCGCAACCCAGGTACATGCCCTTGACCGGAATCGAACTTGGGACCTTTCAGTCCGCAGGCTGATGCTCTATACACTGAGCCAAACCGGTTTCGGCTCTAGGGAGAGTTTTTAGGAAACATATATATACAAGGACATACAATTTAGTATTGTGGGCAATTATGAAAAATTTGAAATAATCTAAATGTCCATGAATAGAAGGATGGCTAAATTAATTATGGTATATGCATACAGTTGAATATACAGTTCAAACGAATTAACTGGATCTCCATTTACCGCCAAGGCAAATCTTTAAAAGAAAATGTTGCATGTAAAAAGCAAATTGCAGAAAGGTATATACAGTATACCATTTATGGGAAATTTTTAAATCTACTTCACAATACCATATAAAAACATGGATGGAAAGGAATACACAAATACACAAATACACATCAGCCTCTGAATGGTCATGTCTTTGAGGGAGAAAGGAGGGGTCTTTCATGGTGGAGTGTGTGTGTGTGTGTGTGTGTGTGTGTGTGTGTGTGTGTGCAATATCTCATTTCTATCACTTTTTTTCTCCTTTTAAAAAAAATAAGACAGGTGTGGCAAAATCTTAGCATTTGTTGAATCTGAGTTATATTATCCTAAGTATCTGTCTTCATGTTTGAACTATCTAATAATTAAATTTTTAATTAAGAAGGATCAGAGAGGCACAATTTGATACTTCCCATCAAAGTCATTAAATATTTGGATCCTATAACTTGTTCACTTTGTTCAAATCCATTTTCACCAAGCAGCTTTATGGTTCACTGACAAGAAAATGTGCAGAAGCTTGAAGTATCTGGTCCTTGGTAACTATTATTATAATAAATAAGCTGGCACTCTGCTGTATATAACTCAGAATTCTGGGAGTTTGGTTAATTTGCATCAGTATCACCAAGATTGTTCATCTCCCAGACTCCGGACCATGGTGAATTCAGGACAAAAGCCATCTCATGAGGTTGTGTGGGATCACCCTTCTGGCAATGCGACAATCTTGCTGAATATTCCTCAACTCAACCTTCTTCAGATAAACTATTTAATATTAGGGGCTTAGCTTTTAAAAGTTTGCAGATGTCTAGAAATTCACTGTCATGCATCTTGAAGGTGTTTTATTGATAACCCAAAAGGAGAATAATAGATGTGTGTGTGTGAATAAATGTCCTTCAAGTTCATTGCAATGGACCATTTATGGAAGGCAGAACCACACAGGTATAAGGAAGTTCTGTACTTACTTGAAGTATAAAGCCAGGTCAGTTGCTATTATTGCAACTTCAAACAAATGAATAACTGTTTCAAACTGGCGTTTATTTAGGTTCTGGAAGATGTTTAAACTCTGTAAGATGAACATTCACAATAAAGTGCAATCATTAATTTGCCTGTGATTCAACAAACAAACCAAACTATGCCTAAAATAAAGATTATTTACAGAGAGAAGAAAACTAGGTCTTCCACTGTTTTGCTTTCAATTTTTGCTTTCACTGTTTGCTTTCAATTTTTGCATCTTGGATTAAGAAAACCTCTCTACTTTGAGTAAGTAATTTACCCATAAAAATAGATATTAGCAAATGTTCATGTAATCAGTATAAGATTTTGAAGTAAATAAAAGTGTTTTCTTCCAGGACCATTTAAACAATACTAATGTGCTTGTATTAATCAAAGAGCTTTAATAAAGAATATCTGGTAGATGTCAAACTGTTAGATATCCATGTTGAATTACCTACCATGTAATTTCAGAGTGATCACAGGAAAATTTTCAGGAACTGTGAATTACACTAGTACTCATGTGTGTGTATGAAAAATAATGAAATTTTTCCAAGCTGTTCTCAAAATGTATCCTTGCAATAATATTTTACAAAGACTTAACTAGACCTTAGTGTTCTAGAAAACTAGAGTATAAAGTTGGGAGTGGTTTTTAAAAGATCTGATATTCCAAATAGACCTTCATAGGCATACAGGCTAAAGGACAGATGTATAGTGGTTTTGCCAAATGAAATTGACTGTTATGAAATACAGGAAAAGTTCCATTGGAAAGAAAAGAGGAAATAGTATATTAACTTATGTAGAGATAGAGGCAGCATAAAATAGACTTGCAAACCCAAGACCAGCTATGGCTCTCTGTTATTCCAAGAGACTGAAAAACTAGAAAGCAAGAAATGAACAAAGAACTCAAGTTTTCTATATTATCTATACAAATAAAAGGGTAATATGGTAATTAGACTGGGAGACCTTCCTGGAGACCTTCTGGACGTCCTTCCAGACAAAGCCATGGTGGCGGGGCTGAGGCAGAGGTGGTACAGGGCGAGGCAGAGGTGATTAGGAGTGATCAGGACAGCAGGGGAGCAGTTAGAGGCAATCAGGCCAGTAGGGGAGCAGTTAGGGGTGATCAGGCATGCAGGCAGAGGTGGTTAGGAGTGCTCAGGCAGGCAGGCAAGTGGTTAGGATTAAGGAGGCAGGCAGGTGAGTGGTTAGGAGCCAGCGGTCCCGGATTGTGAGAGGGATGTCTGACTGCCGGTTTAGGCCCGATCAGACATAGGGATCGGGCCTCAACTGGCAGTCAGACATCCCCAAACGGGTCCCAGATTGGAGAGGGTGCAGGCTGGGCTGAGGGACACACACCCCCGTGCACGAATTTCGTGCACCAGGCCACTAGTCCTATATAATAAAAGGTTAATATGCAAATTGTCCCCACAGGCGGGAGTTCAACGGACCGGGAGTTAGACATGCACTGGCCACCAAGGGGCGGCGTGGAACATGGCGGGCATTGGCGACGTGGCGCTGGCAGCGGGCGGCAATGGAGGCGCTGCTGGCTCCAATGGGCCCCAACGAGAATGGGACCTCGGCAGGATGGTGGAGCAGGTGAGCAGGTGGAGCCAGGCCAAAGCGGTTGTGAGTGGGGGCCCCAATCGCCCCACCGGTCACCCTACAGATCGGCCCTGATCACTGGCCAGGCCTAGGGACCCTACCTATGCATGAATTTCATGCACCGGGCCTCTAGTATATGTTATATAAACCTTCACTTAAGTCATTTTTTATAACAAATTTACTAGGCTAAACACCATATAATGATAGCAGCAACTCACATAATACTTACTGCTTACCAGGCACTATTCTAAATGCTTTATGAATACTCTTAATCTTAAAACAAACCACAGTACAGAGAGGTTAAGTAACTTGCTCACGGTTAAACAGTGAGTACACGGCAGAGCTGGAATCTAAACCAGTGCAGCATGGCATTACACTGCCTCTCAACAAGGAGCCCAGGTTCGGTTCCCATATTCACCACTTGGTAGTTGTATAATCTCGGACACGTCATTTAGCATCTGTATTTGCTTTCTCAAATGGGGATAATAACAGCTGCCCTGCCTAACTGCCTAGCACTTAGTCTATGCTCAATAAATATTTGTGGAATGTTAACTCAAATGAGATAACTGAGAATGCATTTTAAAACCATAAATTGCTACAAAGGCCATATCATTATTCTTGTTATGTAAAGTTTTGAGGCTAGCTTCAGGTTAAAAGAGATTTGCAAACCCAAGACCAACTATGGCTCTCTGTCATTCCAGGAGATTGAAATACTAGAAAGCAAGAAATGAACAAGAACTCAAGTTTTTTATATCATATGTTATATAAGCCTTTGCTTAAGTAATCTTTTTATAAAATAAATTCTAGGACCAAAAATAGTATTTTACATAACAGTTATAAGTAGTAGAAAGGAAAGCTGTGATATTTTTTGTTAAAATAATGAGTTCATAATGGCAACTATAGTCTATTTAAATTGATAGAATGAAAAAATGGCTGTTGAACACTCCAAGAAGTACAATAAACAAAAGAAAACCTGTCTAGATCAAAATCAGTTTCTTATTTGACACAGTTCACAGCAGCCCCTGGAGCATCCCAGTCCATACTCTGAACCAAATCTGGATACAGGGCATTTTCAACCTGGCCTGTATTGGCCAGGAAGAAGGAAGAGCAAAGGGAGCATTTACAATTTTAATCTCACTTCCTGCCCTTGATTTTGGCACCATGGTGGCCTTTGGACTGGTGGTGACCCAATGGCATGTTTATGTCATTGAGTCACTTACTGTCTTTATTTGTTCATTGATACACATTTTTATGTTCCAAATGTAATGTGACATATACTTTGTAGCTCCAGTGACACTTAAATTCATCCTTGATTGCTGTACTGGGGGAAAAAGTGAGGGCATGTGTAGAAATGCCTTAAACTTTTAGACTAATTAATATTAAAAGCACATGAAGACATTTTAATTTTACTGTATACTGAAAATTTGCTAAGAGAATAGGTCTCAGGAGTTCTCACCACACATTCACAAAAAGGTAAATATGTGAGGAGATGAATATGTTAATTAGCTGGTTGTAGTAATCATGTCACTATGTATATGTATATTGAAACATGTTGTACACCTTGTAATATATGTAATCTTAAAAAATAAAATGAACAAAAATTTAGGAAGAAGAGCCAAATTAAAACAAAATGGGGGGGGGGTGGGCAGGAAAGCAAAATAGGCTGATGAATTTAAATAATCCCTTAGGCTATAACTTCCTGTCTCTACCAAGTGTCAGATTGTACAGGGCGCATAATCTATAGCCATCGACCAAATAAATCAATATTTTTATGCACCAATTATTTTAATGTATATTGTTTATATTTGTAAACCTGGATACCTGTTACTATTTGCTAAGTATATCTGTATGAGAGGAAAAGCTACATATAAAGAGAAATATAAAAATAAATATGACTAATCCTGTTTTACCCCATTTAAGTCATACCTTTTTCCAATCCAAAATAATAAAACAGCTGTATTAAAGCTGACAGGTTATCAAAAGGTCTTTCAGATTACAAAGTAAATCAATATTGGATTTTTTAAAAAGATGAACATGGCATACTTTTAAAATTGGTATAATTAAGGAAAATGAGTGTACATTCAATTTTTCAGTACTGCTTTTTTAATAGATAGTACAATATACCTAAATTTCACTCATCATTTTTTTCCTCATTCATTTCACTTTTATCTAAAAAACTGTGCAAGTCTACTAATTGAAAAACCATTTCTTAATTCTATATTCTTTCATATTTTCTCTTTTATTCCTTTCACAGCGAAGGCCTTTAAAAGAAAAGCTTCTAAGTGGTTTCTTTTTAAGCTGTGGACATAGATTCATACGAAGTATCCTGCTTCTGTTTTGTATTAGTTGCTGGAAAGCTCTTGATCAAATTTGTGGCCCATGTCTAATAAATGTTTATACCTCACTGTACACATTTTGGGAACATTTTGAGACTTTACCATACTTTGTCTTATTTTTCCATTAGCCCTCTCTAATGTTATATGTATTTTTGGAAGCTCCACCAAATCATTTTGGACAAAAATTGAGGATTAAACACATATTCATGCATGCAATTTTTTTTAAGTAAGCAAAGATGCATTCATTGGAGCAAAGGCCCACTTACTCAAAGAAAGAGTATATTTTTATTCTCCCTCTACTATTAAAATGGCAATAAAAATATAAATTCTGCATAGCACATCAAAATAGGTGGAAGTGGCTCTAATTCATTCTGATTAGGGCTCCCAGGAGAGGAGAAGCCACAGAAAGTACAGGCAGTTTTAGTCTTCATGTTGGAGGAGAGTGCCCACCTGTTCAGGCTCACTGGTGACCTACAAAAGATATTTAGTTTCTTCATGCCTTCTTTGTATGAGATGGGGTTGGTATGAATAGAATTATTATGCACTTTGTAACGAAGTGTTTTTGAGTAACAAAAGGGTTCTGTTATTTATGCTGAGCAATTTATTTTGTCATTTTTATAGTACATTATAATTATAATATTACAATGTATACTCTCACAAATCTGACTAACAGGTATTTCCAGCCATTCACTCAGGTTAAAGGGTAGGTTTCTGTCTGGTTAGAATATAAGTGGTTCTAATTCTCAAAGCAGTGAATCCCACTCTATGGGGATATAAGGCCATTTTAGGTCAAAACCTTTTAATATGCAAAACAAAATGTCTGAGTCATGCCCATGAAATGCTGAAGTTGCTAGATAAATTCTAAGGATCTTCCTTGTTTTAAAAATTAAAGATTTTAAAAGTAAACATTTTTATACAAAAATAAGTAAATAAAAGAGTCACATTGTCTACGTAGGATGGCTAAAAATTTCTTTTTTCCCCCAGCATTCAATTTGCTTGCTTATAAAAAGCTCTGTGATTGCATTGCCTAGCGACTCTATTTACAGGCCTTAAAAGTCTGCAATTAGCAGATTGAATAGCATTGTAGGCAGGTCCTCGCCAAGATGGTAAAGATTACTGAGATGCAATATTCCTTTTTAGAATGAATAATAAACCTTTATATAGTCATCAAACCCAGTTCAGGCTGCAGAATAAATAACATTAAAGAATTTAATATGGAAAACCACAACCTTATTATAAACTCCCCAGTCCCAGAAAGAAAAAACTTATGAGATATGAGGAGCCTTCCAATGGTAAGCATTTAGATATTTGGCTGTAGTTTTTAAACATATTTTCCTTTAGTAAATACAATTAAATAACAAAATTAAAAATATATTTGACACGATCTGCCTTTGGTATCACATAATCACTAGGAATTAGAAAATTCTTACTCAAAAATATAAGATAGTCTCAGCCAGTAAAACAAAGACTCATAACAAATTGGATAATTAACAATTTAGTCTTATCTCTCTGAATTACTTTCCGATTCTCCTTTGAATTCTCCCAGAACAGATATTATCATTTTTATGGCATAAATGCTACTGCAGGGAGAAGTTCTGGCCATGCATCAGAACTATTACAGTTCTTGGTGAAAGTGCAGGTTTCTGGGCCCCCACCCCTGAGAGCCCAGTCAGTAAGTATGAAAAGCAGCCCAGGATCTGTTTTTTTGTGTGTTTTGTTTTGTTAATCCTCACTCGAGGATATTTTTCCATTGATTTTTTTTGGGAGAGTGGAAGAGAGAGGGAACCATCGATGTGAGAGAAACACATCAATTGGTTTTTTCCTGCATGCGCCCTGACCAGGGCCCTGGCTGGGGAGGAGCTTGCAACCAAGGTACATGCCTTTGCCCGGAGTCAAACCCGGAACCCTTTGGTCCGCAGGCTGATGCTCTATCCACTGAGCCAAACCAGCTAGGGCCAGAATCTGTCCTTAACAACCTGCCCACCCACCCCGTCCTGTGAAATCAATGATTCTGACGCAGCTGCTCTGGGTCTCCATGTCTGGGTGCTGTATCAGTCATAGGCTCTTAAAAACACTCCAGGCACTTCACTACACATACACTTTTCTTCCTGGTCACTCTGCCTTATAAGTTTTTCCACTTGGCTTTTCATTACCTAAAAGACTGTAGTGTTATCTCGAAACTTGGGACATATTTCTGTGCTTTCCTTCCCCTGAGCCTGTAATAATGATTGTGATGGAAACTGAGAAAAGCTCCACCCTGGAGAGGGCTGGTGCATCCTAATGAGCATCTGCAGTTCTAAACATGTCCTCTGGCGAGACACAAGTGTTCCCCTCCCTCTAATCAATGGCTCCTTTTAATTGTTTGGTTTGGAACTTTCTCAACTGATTTTTAAAAAAGGAAATATAACTAGACTATATCCACAACTTTTCCACAAGCCTATGTACCCTTAAATAAAATTGATAAAGAGAAGATTGACTACCTCCCATGGAATGCAAGTAGTAGTGATACATGCAAATCAAAGTGAATTCAAGACCAAGTTCAAAGACACTTCCTGCATAAAGCTGTCCCTGATGCAATCTGTCCTCCCCTGTGCCCTGCCCACTCCTGAGTGTGATATCTCCCTCTGGAACTCTCAGTGCCACTCTGATGGCAGTTGTCCGATTCTGCCTTATATCCCAGTTTCATGCCTCTCTCCGCTAAGAAATCTTGACTTTCTGAAAGTACAGACCATGCCCTTGAATGAAAGGGAGTGCCCAGGAATGAAAAAGAAAGCCGGTGCCTGATTTACACATCCCCTATAAGCCTTTTCTTCTTTTTCAACAGACCCACAGAGATTCTGTGAGGTTTCATGGCTCTTTTGTCCTCTATCCCAGCTACTTCCAACTTGGTTGTTCAAAAACTGTTGCAATTTAGCCATTTCTGTCATTGACTTTTATGAGGTAAACACTGTCAGCCTCCACCCCTCAAGGCCACCTCTTTCCAAGCATTTTCTGTAGGTTAGTGTTTTGACCCAGAGCTTGTGAGCTGCCCTGGAGAGAGGCTCAGGTACCTCATCCTGCAGGAGAGTCTTGCTGTACTCCAGATGGTGCCTCTCCAAAATAGAAGATCCATGAAGCTTTGCCAATGGAGACGTGGATCTAGAAGGAGAGGGATATGCCATGATTTTAGCTGTTTAAAGATTATGCATATGTCCATACAATATCGAATCTTTACTATCTGAGGATTTTTTTCATTTCCTCTCTCTCCCTCTCCCCTAATGCCTGTGAAATGGTCAAAAGTTACATATTGAAAAAGATGTTTTAGATTTAGAAGATGAGAATATGCTCTTTAAAACAATTTCTTAAAAAAAAACACAACACCCTGATTTATTGAATGCATAAAATGATTGAACTGTTTAAACTCAGAAGTCTGGTCCTTCCTCTGCATCTAAAATCTTTGTCCCCAGAGTTTATGGTGGTTGAATATGACTTATAGAGCATGTAGCAAACCTGATAAAGCCTGTAACTCATTTATAGAGAAAGTGTTCATTAGGAATTGAGTATTCTTATAAATACAGCATTGAGAATATAGTCAATAATCTATACATGTGCGATACATATAAAGCTCTTGCTGGTGCCAATTGCACGCATGTGTTTCAATCTGTCATTGTTGATTGTGAATTTGGTTGACACCTCTATTATAGAGAAAGGGTGAATAGTGATATTAAAGTATTTCTTCTAATTAATTTCCTTTCAATGTGCACGAATCAGTGCACCAGGCCACTAGTGTTGTGATAAGTATGTATGGTTTCAGATAGGTACTAGACTTTTCAGGGTGACCACTTCCCAAGTAATATAAATGTCTAATCACTTTGTTGTACACCTAAAGCTATTATAATATTGTACGTCAACTGGAAATTTAAAAATTTAAACATTTTTTTTATATTTTGATTGATATTTTACAGAGAGGAAGGGAGAGGGATAGAGCGTTAGAAACATCGATGAGAGAGAAACATCGATTAGCTGCCTCCTGCACACTCCCCACTGGGGATGTGCCCGCAACCAAGGTACATGCCCTTGACCAGAATCGAACCTGGGACCCTTGAGTCCGT